TGCAGAGCCTCTTTAGTGGCTCTTCACTAGGTGGCACCAGACACCAATGCTCATGAGGATGTGCTGGGCTGTGTCACCCCTTTCTCCCAGGCTCCCCAGTGTGGAGCTGGCCTGGAGGCGAGCAGAGCATCCTCAGCCACGAGTGGGGATGGATGGATGCAGGAAGAGATTGATCGTTAGAGCTTATCATGAGCGAAAGTATTGCATCACCTGCTGGAGTGCAAGGGCTGCTTTGCACGGCACAAGATGTTCCTCGGTGCTTTGTGCACCGTGCTAAGGCTGCCGGACCAGGGCCTACCGGTCTCACTCCTTTCCATCTTCAAGGAATACCAACTGGAGAGCTTTTCCCTGGCTGGGGAAATGCATCATCTGCCACAGCATCCTCAGTATTGCACAACTCATGCCGTGCTGCACAACTCTTGTCATGCTGTCTCAGAAGCCTCACAAAATGGTTTTCATGAAGAGCATGAGCTATGTGGGGTGGGAAGTGCACTCTGGGTCCCTGGGCCAATGGGTGCTGTCCACAAAGCAGAGTGTAACTTGGGAACTGTGGGTGATCCTGTGCCCAGACATGCTTGGGTCCTGGTTATTCCATGGGATTTTGCAATAGAAAGGGTTTAGACTTTTCCCCCTGCTATGAATAAAGCACTATCGAAAGTTCTTCCAATGGACTTCTTTCCCACCCCCATCTTCTCTACAGCTTAATCCAAGCCTTGTTCCTTGGTCTTTTCTCCTCCCTTGGAGGCAGATGTACAGGCACCATCTCAGCCATATCCTGGCACCAGCTGGGAGCACAGCATTGTCCTCTCCAGTCCCAGCAGCAGCTGAATGCCAAGGGATTGCTTAAAAATTAATCCAATGCTTGTATTTCTCATTAAAAGTGCTAAATTGTTGGTGCACAGCCCAGAAAGTCTATTTGGGTTGGCGATATATACTCTGCCTGTTATTTAATAAATGACTTTACAAAGAGCTAAATGCAGCCGCAGAGTCAATAGGGAAATTGGACAATAATTAACAGATACCCAGTAAGTTGAGGTCTGGTTAATGTGGCGCATTGAGACTTGAGAACAGAAGTCTGAGTAGGGAAGGACACAGCAAGATGCCTACCATGCCCTGAATAGAAAGCCATGGCTCCAGGGGCTGGGACAACGGTGGGGGGCTCGGGTGCTGCAGAGGGCACGTAGGGGTGATACTAAGCTTTTGCTGCTCCTCACATTGCCTGGTTATGAGATCAGAGGCTGCCGCAGCCTGACCTTTACAGAACAGGTGTTAAGCTGCAGGAGCCTTCCCCTCCTGGGGCATTCCCCAGAGCTTATTCCCAGCACAGCTTGAGTTCCTGCCAGCCCCAGAAATCCCACAGAAAAGGTTCCAGGAACCCCTTACACATGGTAAGGAGGACATTGACCCATTGGTGGGAAATGGAGTAACTTCCCATTGCCCAAGAGCACCTAAAGAAAACAGATTTGTCTGGAGGTGGGGGGAGGTGGAGGGGTGTGCAGTTTCTTTGGGAGGAAGGAGCAGATGAAAGTCTGAAATCTGGTAGGATCTTGGCCATCCAGACAAGGAATACAGCCCCTAATTCCCATAGCCATCAAGAGTTAGGGCTCAGTTGAGTTGTCCTTGTGCTGTATCCTGGCTGATGACAGGGCTGTAAGAAGTGGATTATGCTACACAGGGGGTTCTTCCAGAACCAACCTGCTTCCTACATGGCAGCAGCCACCCAGAGAAGATGCTGGGATTCAGGTGTCCCCCACAGAACCTGAGAAAGACTCACTCTTGGCTAAGCCAGAGCCACTTTCCCCACACTATCTTATGCTCCCAGCGGGGCAGGAGTCAGGAGAATTTGGGTCTGGGGCAAGTTATCTCTGGGGAAAACCTGAAGGATCATCCCTGAGAAGGCACAGACAGCCCCACGCTGATCTGGACTACGCTGTAAGGTTTGGTTTGCAGGTCCATGTGCAACCAAAGTACAGTGGGAAACCCACTTATTAGGCCCCCAGAAGGGAACATGGCTTGGCCACCAAAACAGTTTCTCCTGGAGAAGGACACCTGCCCAGCAGAAAGCAGCTCCACTGCCTCCAGCCTGCCTGGGGGACAATGCCCCAGACCATCTCCCCTTGGTTTGTTCCCCAGCCCCAAGTGTGGCTGCAGGGGGCAGTTGTGCAATGGAATAACTGCTTTTTGAGCAATAGAACAATCCCACTTTTATCTTGTGCAAAAGGTTTCCGGAAAACACCATGCAACAGGCGGAGGAAAATTGTACAAACATTGGCACGTGCCCAGAGCTATTCCCTGCCCACAACCTCCCCAAGGGTTTAAATATCAGTGTCCCACAGCTCTTTCACTTGCACCTCGCTGGGACACGGCAGAATGAAGACGCTGCCCGCTCTCCTCCTGGTGGGGATGCTCATCCTCTGGGCAGAACTGCCAACAGGTATGAGATGTCCTAGGGTAAGGTGCAGGGAGGAAAAGCTCAGGGGCTGGGAAGACGGGGATTGTTAGCTGGGAAGCATCTCGCCAGAGCCTCTCAACTGCCCTGGAGTAAACAATTCCCTCCTGTTGCAGGCAGCGCCTGGTCCTGCCCACCCGTTCGCTTCATTTGCGCCATGCACAACCCGCCGAACCAGTGCAGCAGCGACTGGCACTGCCCCAGGCGCAAGAAGTGCTGCCGGACCTTCTGCGGGAGGAAATGCATCTCGAAGCCACCTGCCATCCCTGTCACCCGCGGTAGGGGCTCAGGAGCCCTCCTGCCTGCACCTGGCGGGTGGCTGAGGGAGGGATCTGATGGTGTCCTGCTCCAGAGCCCTCCACTGTCAAGCTGCTGGGGTGACTGGTGGCCAAACATGCAGTCTGGGGTTACTCTGAACACCAGACTCAACATGTTTTTTTCTCTCCCTTTCCTCAGTGTGAGTTCCTGCTCTCAGGACAGACCAAGGGCCATCTCAGCATCCCCATGCCACCTCTGGCACCAGCCCAAGCTCAGATCACCTTGGCTCCAGGATCACTCCATGACAGCTGCCACGCAGTGCTACATACCACCTGCTTCCCCTCTCCCTCTGCTTCCCCACCACTGTTTGAGCAAATAAAAGAGTTTGTCCCAGGGATACTTGTGATGTGTGACTTCTTTCCCCCACTCCTCTTGCCTCTCTCCATGACCATCCTGGCACATGATCCCACTGCTTCTTTATCCCCAGAATTTCTGGCTGGGGGAACGATGAAAACAGCTTGGCTACACACCTGGAATGTAGTTAGGGGCTGGCTTGGGGGAGGAAAATCCATCCAGAGGGATACAAATACCAGGGGGAGAAGGCAGTGGAAAGGGGGTGGAACAAAACATGACAGGATGCTTTAGGGGATGCTCCTGGCAGGCTGTGAGTTGCCCTGAGGAGCAGTGCGTCCCACAGACAACCCCCAAGCTGGACAGGGCTGTGGAAGGGGACTGACCCTGCCTGCCCAGGGGGATATAGAAGGCAGAGCTTCCCTGTGAGTACCCTACTTAGGGCACATCTGGAGAGCAGAGTAGGGGAGTTACATAGAGACAAATCTCAAGTGGTGCTGGACCTCTCACTGAACCCCAGCTGGTGGAGAAAATTCAGACGATGAAACTTTCCTGGGAAAGTCTCAAGCTAGAGCAATAAAATCACAGCTCCAAAGGGTTTTTGAAATTTTTGTACAGCTGAGTGGCAGGGCCAAAAGATCAGGAAATGCCAAGGAATATCAGCAGGAGAGCATGTGTATAGCCTGAGGGACCTGCCAGCCTCTGCCCAGTGCAACAGCAGAGTCAGGCACTGTCACGATGTGCTGCAGGGGCAGAGCATCACCCAGCCTGTGCTGATGCTCAGACAGTACCTGCCAGCCCTCCCCAATCCATAGCTAATGCCAGACTTGCATGTCCAATTCTCAACAAGCAGTCCCAGCCCAGACTGGGAGAGGAGCCTGGTCTGTCTGCACACACTGGAGAGAACAGAGTGGAGCTGCTGCTGCCCAAGGGCTGAGCTAATGATCTCCACTGCCAGGCACGAGTCAGGTAATCTGTAGAGCAGCACCAAGCGGCCAGATATTTAAACCTCCCACAAATACAGCAGGATGAAGCCTCTGACTGTGGGATCAACATGGCCCAAGGCAGACACTGGAAGCTCCCTGGCCAAGACTGGGCAGAGCATCTGCTGGAGCAAGTCCTTCTATGGTGACCCCACGGAGGAACTAGAGAGAGGCAAAGACACAGAAATTATTCAGTGACAGAGAGAGAAGAAACCCTGTGGGGAAAGGACACCTCTCTGCTTAACCTGGCCAGGGGAGGTCAGAGATAACTGGAGAGCTCATACACTGCTGGGAAGGCTGGTAACACCAGATGATCCAGCAGGGACAGGCAGAACAAGAGCTGGGAGCTCATCAGCCAAATTCAGTGTAAGTTCAGACATTGTTTCTGCCCAGTGCAGTGTCCTTCCAGGGAAAACTATCCCTGGCACCCTGACTCCAGCCCAGCCCTCTGCATGGGGAATGCTGTGCCACCCAAGCCATAGGACAAAAGAAGGAGAGCCCCAGCGTTCCCCCAGCCATCCCCACACCCAGGCTGGCAGCAGACAGGGCAGAGCAGCCTGATTACACCTCCCGCGGTCATTAGTCACAGATCGCAGCCTTCCTCCTCCTCCATCAGGACCAGCTATTATCAGCTATTAAGCAGGCATTTCCATACAGCTGGCTAATTTGATAATGCTGCAATTATCTTCGTTTGTTAACAAGATTAAATTGCTAATTGGTTTGATTAAGCACAGAGCTCCAGACATGGGGTGCCTCTCAGCTGGCAGTGCTCATGGCCCTGCACAGCCCGGTGGATGCTCTGCCCCAGGCAGCAACTCCTCTTCAGAGACAAGAGAATGGAGGAGGGGTTCATACTCCCACAAACTGCTGCCTGGATCCTCCAGATCTCCATGGAAAGGTCTGGAGAGATCCCTCTTCCTGCTCTGAGACTGAGCCAGCTCTGCCTGTGTCACCACTGTCACCCAGATGGTGGCCCACGAAGGCAGGAGGCTTTGGTGCTATTAGGTGCTCTAGGGGCATCTAGTCTGCTGGAGTCCTGCTGCTTTCTGTTTTGGAGCCCTGCAAGCCAGAAATCCCCGAGGAAATGCACCAACTGTGCCTCCACCTGCAGCTGCATCAACAAATCCTCTGCTCTCCTCTCCCTACCCCTCTTTACAGCATTTCCAGCTTCCACCATCTGTACTGAGGAGCTCCAACACCGTGGATTAGACTCACCTGTACCTCTCCATGCAGCAGCATTTGCCTGGGAGGAGCTGGGCAGGGCACCAAAACACACACAGGTCAGGATCACTGTGTTAAGTCCTGGCAGTGTGCATTGGCTGAAATCCTTTGGATTTGGGTCTCTGGGGAGGAAGGGAATTCCCCTCTGTGTCCTAGGTACATGCCAGCAAGAAAGCAGGAAAAACAGGGTCCTGTGCCAGAGAGATGTTTCCTTTCTGGTTCTTCCCATATCACCTGCTTCCCCAGGGCAAGAGCAGCCCGAAGGTGGAGATGTTTACTTTCTCTGCCTGGGGGATTACTACAGCTCAGGACTCATTGCTGTAGGGCTTTTTCCTGCAACAAGTTCA